TGTGTGTAGATGGTGCAGTGTGTGTGTGTAAGAGATCTAGTGTGTAAAGGACCCAGAGTGTGTATAGAAGTGTGTGTGTGTGTGTGTAGAAGATTAAGAGTGCATATAGGGTAAGGGATCTAGCGTGTATCTGGAGCGTAATGTGTGTAGTGGTGCAGTGTGAGGGGTGCTGTAGTGTGTGTATATATATATATATATATATATATATATATATTTGGACGTATTGTATGTGTGAGGTGTGCAGTGTGTTTGTGTAAGAGGGGTGCTGTATGTGAGGGTGCTTTTATCTGCCGTCACATTCTAGGTTTCTAATTTTCTTTGTCTGTTAACTCACTGAGGTTTATTATATATATATATATATATATATATATATATGTTCTGTATATGTGTGGGAGTGAGGGTGCTGTCTGTCTGAGGGTGTTGTGTGTGTCTGGGGGTGCTGTGTGTGTCTGTGCGTGTCTGGGGGTGCTGCGTGTGTCTGAGGGTGCTGTGTGTGTCTGAGGGTGCTGTGTTTGGGTGCTGTGTGTGTCTGGGGGTGCTGTGTGTGTTTGGGTGCTGTGTGTGTCTGGGGGTGCTGTGTGTGTCTGAGGGTGCTGTGTGTGTCTGAGGGTGCTGTGTGTGTCTGAGGTGCTGTCTGTCTGAGGGTGCTGTCTGTCTGAGGGTGTTGTGTGTGTCTGAGGGTGCTGGGCGCTGCTTGAGGGTGCTGCGCTGAGGGTGTGTGAGGGTGCTGTGCTGTCTGAGGGTGCTGTGCGTGTCTGAGGGTGTGTGTGTATGGGTGCTGTCTGAGGGGTGCTGTGTGTGTCTGAGGGTGCTGTGTGTGTTTGGGTGCTGTGTGTGTCTGAGGGTGCTGCGCGTGGTCTGAGGGTGCTGTGTGTGTTTGGGTGCTGTGTGTGTCTGAGGGTGCTGTGCGTGTCTGTGTGTGCTGTGTGTGTCTGTGTGTGCTGTGTGTGTCTGAGGGTGCTGTGTGTGTCTGAGGATGCTGTGTGTGTTTGGGTGCTGTGTGTGTCTGAGGGTGCTGTGTGTGTTTGGGTGCTGTGCGTGTCTGAGGGTGATGTGCGTGTTTGGGTGCTGTGTGTGTCTGTGTGTGCTGTGTGTGTCTGAGGGTGCTGTGTTTGGGTGCTGTGTGTGTCTGAGGGTGCTCTGTGTGTGAGGGGGCTGTTAGGGAATTTATTTTAATTTTTATTAATAATTAAAAAAGAAAATTTATGTGTGTGTCCCCCCCCTCCCTTCTTACCTTTATCCTGGGAGGGGGGGAGGAGATCCGCTCTGCCTGGGAGGGGGGAAGCCGTGTTGCCGTGGAGGGGGGGTGCCGTGCTGCCATGCTTCCCTGGTGGTCCAGTGGTGAGAGTGAACTCTAACCTGCAGGCTAGAGTTCACTCTCGCGAGGACCCGGCGGAGCTGCTGGTTAGAACTCTGCCGGGTCCTCTCTCTTCCCTCCCTCCCTCCCCAGCCTGCGGCCGCATCTCCCTGCCTCTGGGCCAGTGAGGGAGATATTTGATCTCCCCACCGGCCCATGGAGGCACTATGCAGGGCCGGCGCTCGGATAGTGCTGGCCCTGCAGGGGCCGGCCGGGGAGATCCCCTGCCGGCCTCGGCCCCACGGCCATCGCGGCCCACCGGGCATTTGCCCGGTATGCCCGATGGCCAGTCCGGGCCTGCTTACTGGCCCCTGGAGGGAGGCACATAGCGCGTGCCACGGGGATTAGGGTGTGCCTATGTTGGAAAAATAGCTGGGGGATTTTTCAACCTTTATGTTTCAGTTAGGAATCTCAATTTTCTGTAAAGTAATATCTAAACCATTTATTGAACCAAGTAGGTCAATTGTGAATTTCCAACTGCAAATCTTCCACTTCCTGTTTTGCCAGGAAGAAGATTTATGGGAGCTGTAGTTTAACTGCTGTTAGATGCCTGCCTTTGATTACCTCTATTCCAAATGAGAATTTATTGCTCTGGGCTGGGACAAAAGAATAGGTACAATTTGATGAATATTTTTTTTTATCTTTCCGAGGTCAATAAAATGAGTGCAATGAAGCTGGCTTATAACAACTAGCCCCTAGACATATGTAAAACGCGAAAATGCCCCATGGTTAATCAATTTTCTAGTATTATAATTACCCCTAAATTTCAGACTAGAGTCAGATGTCTAAGAGTTTAGGTCTGTTTATGAATTACATATACACGACCAAGGCTACCATCAGGAAGGTACAGCCCATGCAAGTGTATGGGGTCCGGGCAGGACCGGATTGGCCCACTGGGAAGTTTCCTGGTGGGCATGGAATCCTTCAGAGGTCCTTATAATATGGCAGGTGATCCCCGTGGATTAAGGAATCACCTGCAATCATTGTTATATGTATATGTGAAGTGAGGCCAGGCAGCTACAGAGCAGTGCAGTGTGTTCGGAAGGCATCTACTGAGAGACAGAGACTGGAAATTCATTTTTTAGGGCTTCCTTCTAGATCACAATACATGGGAGCTTCAGTGTTCAAGAGGGGAAGAATAATGATGCAGAAGATGGAGCTATGAGAAGAGAAAGCGATAAAGCTGAGGGAGATGAGGGAAATGGAGATGAGAGCTGGGAGACAGAGGAAGATGGAACTGGGGGGTAGACGGAGATGGAGCTTAGCTGAGAGAGAGATGGATCTGGGAGGAAAGAGGGAGATGGAGCTGAGGTGAGAGAGGGAAATGTAGATGAGGGGAGAGAGAGAGATGGAGCTGAGGGGAGAGAGGGAGATGGAGCTGAAGAGGAGAGAAGGTGATAAAGCTGAGGGAGTTAGAGCGAAATAGAGATGAGAGCTAGGAGACAGAGGAAGATGGAACTGGGGGTTAGACGGAGATGGAGCTGGGAGAAGAGAGGGAGATGAAGCTGAAGAGGAGAGAGGGAGATGGGTCCTGGGTCAGATGGAGATGGAGCTGGGAGGAGAAAGGGAGATTGAGCTGGGGGAAGAGAGGGAGATGATGCTGGAAAGGAAAGAGGGGAATGGAGCTGAGAATAGAGAGGTAGATGGAGCAGGGGAAGATAGGGAGATAAAGCTGGAGAGGAGAGAGGGAGATGCAGTTGAGAGGATAAAGGGAGATTGAGCTGGGGAGAGAGGGAAATGCAGAGAGGTGATAATGTGAGGTGTGTATGAGTATGTAACAAGGATTCATAGCTTATTAACATGTCACAGAGCTCCCCAGAAGTAAAACTCTTAATATTGTACAGTATAAGGGTGTCACAGAACTCCCTAGCAATAAATCGTACAGTAATGTGCATTGTAGATGAGTGTACCATAGAGACAGACGGCAGTAAAACATACTGTGCGTTATTGTATATGATTGTATCACACAAGTGTTTATATATTTTATCTGCCATACAGTCAAAGTTCTGAGTCCGGACCCTGTCCTCACAATTCACAGAGCTGAAGGCCCCCAGGATAGATAATGTTGTCATTGCTCGGTGGTAGACACTTGTGTATGAAGGAGAGAAGGGGACAAGGCATCATGTTTGAAGGGGACAGGCTGCAGACCCAGTGTCTGTCCATGAAGTCTGCTGGTAAGTGAAAGATGTGTACAGTGTGTCTGAAAATGTGTAATCTGTGTGTGTATGGGTCAGTGAGTGTTTGTAGTGTTGCAGTATGCGTGTCAACGAGTGAGTGTGTGGGTTAGTAAAAAGTAAAAGTTTAATGTAAAAAAAATATATAATTCTACTTAACTTGGTGGATTTCTGAGATTATTAGGCATATATGCATGTATATTAATATTTACATGTGTATATATTATAAGTATAATTATGTACAGTTTATGATGTATTTGTTGTAAAACATATGCAGAAATATTAATATAATACACTTGCAATAATATACATGTATACACTACATCCCCTACACCCACACACTCTCTACATCCCCTATACCCACACACAATACATCCCTGCAGGCAGGATAGGGACGGCACTGACCAGAGCTCTAAGTGCCTGCGAGATGGTGGTGGAATGGGTGGTGGGGAGGGGTTGGATTCTCTGGGCAGATTGGGGGGGGGGGCTAGACCTTGAGCTGTGTAAAGGTTCCCAACATTTCTGATGGCAGTCCTGTACATAACTAAATTGTTGAATTCAAAGTGAATTTCTCATTTTAAACCATGTAAACCACACCGAAAACATGGATGACTTTGAGAATGTTTTAAATTTGCTCAAATTTAAAATTCACTGTGAATTTACTTCTCATTCCCGACAATTCACACTGAGTGAATCTCTCTACAGGTTGGAAGGACATTGAATCTCCAGTTCAGATTGTGGCCTACATTTTGCAACTTGATTCTGATTTATTTAGTTCAACTTATTTTTTCAAGCATTTTAAGTTTATATATATTTCATGCAGTTTTAGTATTTTGCGTGCGATATCCTAATTATTGTTTTGTTTTTTTTCTCACAGCACTGAATGCTTTTTTGATGATTTGCATGCTTTGTGATTTACCATAAAGCAGTATTTTGAAGTTTTCTAAGGGAACAATGTGAAGCCAGAGTATTTCTGCTTTATAAACATAAGTTCAGTGCTGAGAATGAGAGTCTTGTGCTCAGTCAGGCTACTGCAAACGGAACAAAATTTTTCTGCATCTAGAGGGGGAAGCACAGAGCTAAAAATAAAAAAGAGAAGATGTGTATCTGTCAGCCTGACAGCTGATTGGTTGCTTGGGAATGCATGTAATTACTGGGACTTTGCAGTAGGTAGATGCATGTGTCGAGGTTGCTACATTATAGGAAGGGATACATTATAACCTCTATAGAGTAAATTCATAAGAACAATAAAAAAATATTAATTTTATTTATAAACAAATAAATAAAATAAGCAAAAGATTTTAAACTCATCACAGGGAACAGAATTAAAGTATCTCACATCGTCTTCTCAACCAGGGGGAGTCCTTTACATTGGAATTTAAAGCCTTTGGATATAATGTAATGGTAAAGATCGCATTGCTGACTTAAAAGTTATGAATATGTGTGTATTCTTCAAACTAGATGAGTTTCTTTTCTTCTTCTTTTTTTTTTTTAGCATCATCTGGTCCTTGAAAGAATTGTATATGCTTTTGTTGCAAGGTACTTTTTCTCTGATCATTTTTAACACTGGTTGGATGCTGCGATCAAACGTTCAAAAACTCAAAAGCCCAGGCAAACTGTCATGAATCCGGTTGTCAAATGACAACTCCCATTATGCATATCCAACATATTTTCTGCCCATAATAGATGTGTACTGCACTGCTCCAACATGGTTGTAACATATCCCAGTACTCCAGCTGAGTACATCTGTTAAGAACCTCCCAAGTCCAAGCGCCGTCGTGATTATAGTAGTGAATATATCACCCAATCCCCCAAACATGAGCCTAGACTTCATGAAGGGGTAATATGATCTGTTTAATCCAGGCTCAATAGCCTGCTTTTATACAATACAGGGACACAGTAAACACACGCACAAAATGTTCCCAAAATGTCATGTCACCATAACTAAGCATAAAATGACAAATTAAAGAAAACACACAAAAATATATATTTTGCAAAGGGGGACCCCCATAGTTTATACATCCCCGGATAGCCTGGATCTGATCGCCCAACATATCTGAAAAGTGCTCAGATCTCACAAACACAGCCAAAACACCACAGTGTGAAAGTTATGACCAGCCGCACACATGGTCCTATGCCCAGGGGTCAAGTCCTGGGGAAAAAAGTGTGGGAACTCACCCAAGATTCCCGCCG